CCCTAAAGAGCGTGCTCTCGGATCGTCACCCGAAGCCACCGTACCCAACGCACTCTAAAGACACCAAGTCCCTCAAATACCGGTACCTCTGGAGCATACTCCGCTCCTCTCAAGTCATCAGGACACTCAAGTCCCGGAGCAACAATACTAACCGCTTTCGAGTACTCCCTCGAACTTTCCAAAAATAGAAATTCCACTTGAGGAAACTTTCCCTTTTTAGAAACCGCTCAATACATTCTTAAATAAGACAACTCAAGTCAAATCCAAGAAATACTCATCTTATTAATCTCAAAATGTCATAATCGTTACAACTCCAAACGAAAATACATAATGAAAGAAAAATAAGAACAACAACTCAAAACTCAAAAACTCCAAAAACTCTGAAAACTCTGAAACTGGAAACCAAGGATAGGCACTCAAGCAGCCGCCTGCTTCTCGAACCACTTCCCAAACTTTGCCTTCATCCTCGCCTCTGGCACCCAAGTCTCCTCCGACACACCGTCGCAGTCCCACTGGACTTTGATCAAAGGAATCTTCTTCCGCCGAAGTTCCTTGATCCTCCTCTCGAGAATCCTCACTAGTCTCGCCTCCAAAGTCATGTTGGGCTGAAGATCCTCAGAAATCCTAGCCAACACCTGATCATCCTTGTGAAGACACTTCCTCAGCATCGACACATGGAACACCTTGTGGAACGCGCGCATGACCTCTGGCAACTCCAGCATGTATGCCACTGGTCCCACCCTCTCAACAATCTCAAACGGACCCATGTACCTCGGACTCAACTTATTCTCAGAGATAGACCTGTTCGGACCTCGCAACATGGCCATCTTAAGGTACACTCTATCCCCAACTTCGAACTCAAGCTCTCTCCTCCTCTGGTCAGCATAACTCCGCTGACGATCCTGAGCTTCCTTCATGTTCAGCTTCAGAACCCGAATCCTCTCGGAAGTCTGCTGAACAAAGTCTGCACCATATATGCTCCTCTCTCCCACTTGGGTCCAGCAAAATGGTGTCCTGCATGGCTTCCCATACAACGCCTCATAAGGAGCCATCTGAATACTCGCCTGGTAGCTATTGTTATAAGCAAACTCCACCAGACTCAAGTGATCAGCCCAATGACCACCCCAATCCAAGACACACATTCGCAACATATCCTCCAGTGTCTGGATAGTCCTCTCAGATTGCCCATCTGTCTGAGGATGATACGCCGTACTCAAATGCACCTTAGTGCCCATCTCTGCCTGAAAGGCATCCCAGAAAGCTGAAGTAAACCTGGGGTCCCTGTCCGACACAATACTCACAGGTACTCCATGCAACTTCACGATCTCGCTCACATACTTCTTAGCCAAAACCGCCACTCCATCGGTCTTTCTGATGGCCAGAAAATGTGCTGACTTAGTCAGACGGTCCACGATCACCCAAATAACATCCTTGGTCCGTGACACAGGCAAACCAACCACAAAGTCCATAGTGATCATATCCTACTTCTACTCCGGAATGGGCAAACTCCGCAACAGACCACTAGGAACCTGATGCTCAGCCTTCACCAACTGGCAAACGTCGCACTTAGCGACCCAGTCAGCTACATCCCTCTTCATCCCAACCCAATGATAGTACCGCTTGAGGTCTCGATACATCTTGGTCGCTTCCGGATGAATGGAAAACATGCTCGCATGAGCCTCTCTCAAGATCTCACGCCGCAACTCCTTATCTTAGGCACGCAAACCCGCCCATGCACAAGGATAGTCCCATTAGCTGCGAACTGATACTTAGAGCCCTCTGCCTTAGAAGCCGCAATCAAACCTTCGTCCTTCTCTTGAGCCAACCGCACTCTACTCAGAAGATCTGCATGATCCACAGCCTCCAACCCCAACGGCTCTCGGGTAATAGCACACAACCGCAACGCACCAATCTCGCTCGCCAAGGCTTCCACTCTGCCCTGGAGCAGCCCACACGCTTACGGCTTAGTGCATCAGCAACCACATTAGCTTTACCAGGATGGTAAGCTATCTCCAGATCATAATCAGCCACCAGCTCCATCCACCGCCTCTGGCTCAGGTTCAGCTTTGGCTGAGTGAAGATATACTTCAAATCTCAACTCAAGAATTTATGAAAAGCAACCTAGGTGAAAGTTCTATCTCTCTGAACTAACAACCTAGCAAAACAGACACAACAACGATGATCACAACACACGAACATCTAGATCATCCCCTCTTCCTCGCCACGATTCCACGTCACACTTTGCCTTTACCTGCATCACAACACGAATGAGATGCGTAAGTATTATCATAAATACTTAGTGAGGCAATCCTCCCAAGCAACAGGCTATACACACAAGCAATAGAAACAATACACAAAAACAGCAAACTCAAACAAACCAGACTGTCTGACGAACGTGTGTCGATCGACACACGACCTCCGTGTCGATCGACGCTCAGCCCGATTGGTGTCGATCGACAGACACTCCCTGTGTCGATCGACACCTTGCCCGATCTGTGTCGAACGACACCTTCCATTGGTGTCGAATGACACCAATCGCGTAGGCACTTTTCCAGCGATTTCCACATCGCGAATTCTCCTTCTCCAGTGCCCTAATTCGACCAACGATTCACACACAGGCCACACAAGGACCCAACAAGGCAATCACGACCAAGCAAACACACAAAACAGTCAATAACTCATCAAATCAACACATAAACGGTTCACACAAAGGATCTAATGCTCAGATAAGCCCTCAGTCATGCACTCACCTCTTTCTGGAAGAAAACTGAACGAAACTGCACGAACACAGGAAGGAGAACGACCCCTACAAGCTTCTCAACGCACCACCGGACTTAGATCTCCTTCACCACCAGGAAATCTCTCAGAAACAGGCTCAGGAACTCACAGAAAGGCTCTCAGGAACTTTTCTCTCTAAAACTCTCTTGGAAAACGACAAAGTGGCTGATGAAAGCCCTAGGTCGCATTCCCTGAAGTTCAGGGCCTGAACCTTATAAACGAGTCAATTAGGGTTTTCCTTCCCTAAACCGAACGAAATCGCACAATCGAAAGCCCAAAAGCCCAATTGTCGAAAACGTTAGTGTCGATCGACACACCCTAATGGTGTCGATCGACACGCTGAACCGAAACCTGGTTCGCGGGCGTTACATAGAGTGTCACGTCAATCAATTAGAAAAATATTGAAAAAGTGGCACAGATTTGGTTAATCGATATAAAGCATGAAACAACATCACACCTACCTCTAAAAGGGGAACTTTTACATGTACTTAATATTATTATCATCAACACGGCTGAACTTTATTGTACATTACTCTAATACTCTTCATCTCCTATAGACCCTTTAGTTTTTAGAATTAGTATAAATGAAAACATTTGAAGACAATGATTTATAAAAGAAAAAAACACACACACACACACATTTAAAGACTTCCACGTAAAAATAGACCTTCCTATATACAAGATGCATATATCTTAATAATTATCCTTATGAAAGACAAGTTTCACCGTGGAAGTTCATTAGTCCATAATCAAGTCTTCGCCGAAAGCTTTGCCATTCTCTTCAGAAAGTCAACCAAGAAATATAGCAGCAACGACATGGGATTAAAGCATATGGGGTTAGATTTTTTTTGTTTCTTTGGCTTGAAGGACAGAGGTTCTTGATGTCATCTCCATTGATCAAGTTGCAACGTGCAATGGAATGTTTTTCCAAGTGGGGGACGATGTCTTATACGTGACAAAGTAGATCTAGGAACTATGAAAGATTCCTAACAAAGATCTAACTGCAAGCAAGGTAACATATGCAAAAAAGGTCATATATCTATAGGAATATAATCGAGATCTTTTTGTATCACTAACTAGATTCTTGACAGTTCAAAGGATAATATAGCAACAATGATTATAATCCAAACTGAGATTGGCGAATCAACACTCCGTGTATATTACGCTCATGGTGGTAATACTTTAACCCAAAGAGTAAAAATCAAGCTACTTGTATGTTTACAGCTAGAGAAAGATGCTCATGATTCATGTTTCCGACAAATTAATAAGTGCTTTTACCTTTTTTCTTATTCTCCTAATCTAAATGTCACATTTGCGTTCTTTTTTTTCTTTAACCAAATTTGAGTTTCCTTTCTCGGAAATTTATTTGGAAATTTTGAATTATACAAACGCTATAATCTTAATGTTTAGAACTAAAAAGTTGCAAATTCTACACTAAAAGAGTAAGTAAAGAATCAATAGTCACATGATATAAGGATATACAACGAAGAACATGACAAATAGGAGTGATACATTATATTTATAGAATATCCCTAGTGAGGAAAAATGATTTCCAGCTACACGAACTATACACCAACACATCACCACACATGCAGACTATTTTAATGTCTCGCTAACTACACGAACTATTGGTATTACATACGAACATCCCCGTACTATCACCATAATCATTTCCAGATAATATAAATGTCTTGTTAACTACACGAAGTATTTCCATCAATTTTTTTAAAAAAAAATAATTAGAAAATGAAAAAATAACTAAAGTTAATTAGAAAATGAAAAAATAACTAAAGTTAATTAGAAAAAATAGCCTCACACTTTTAGTTAGAGCCATATACTTAGATTCAATAGTTGAGAAGGCTACCAACGGTTACTAGTATGTGAAACCTTTATTTTCCTTAGAAAAATGCCAAAGATTAATTCAAAATCTTAGCTGTGATTATGTAAGCAGATTTTGTCTATATAATGCGAGACAGAAAATTCCCATTTGAGTGATAAAAACAATTTGTTGATTGAGTGCATTAATTTAAATTGCTGGCAAAAAGTTCAATGTGATTACACAATATAGTTGAACCCAATAAGGTGAAGAAGCCTATGACTAGTAGTATTAGCCCATTCCTTAGGAGGATATGAAATGATTATAATCAGTAATCACCCAAAAAAAAAAAAAAAAAGTTACATAATATCACTTGTCGATTTTAGGTTTTCAGACCAAAAGTCTCAGATGCTATTCTTGATGATGACTTCTATATAAGCAATAATTTCAAAACAGAAAATAGCTTATTTTGGAAGCAAAAAGATTCGAAGGGATGTTGGAATCAACTTTATTCCCCAATTAATATTGGTGCTGTTCGTTTGCCTGCGGCTGTGGCGAACGCAGATAATGATGTTCGTTTCGTTGCCGCCGGTACCTGCGGCAGAACGCTGCGTCAAACGCGAGTCAATTGCTTTTAAAATTTCGATCGCCGATTTTATCCAGCGTCTGATGCTTAAAAGTTGCGGTATAAATGATAAATTACGAAAATACCCTTATTGTTTTGAAAGATTTACAAAATAACCTAAACCCTAAAATCAAAATTAACGCTGCTCTTGCCGCAGCCTCTTCTTCGTCGCGTCCAAATCTCTCTCTCGACGACGAAGCTTGATTCAAATCTCTCTCTCGACGACGAAGCTGGTTAAATCTCTCTCTCTCACTCTCTCTTTCTCTGTTTGGTCTGTGAGTGAATCGATCTGTTTTTGATTTGAGCTCATCGAAGATTTGATTATGGGTAGTTCTAGATCAGTGAGTGAATCGATCTGTGTTGTGGGCTGGTTAACTGCAAAAATTAGAGATGTTTTTGGTATAAATTCATATATCTCGACCTCTCAGTTTTTTCTGTGAGCTGGTTAACTGATACAGAACCACACGTGTGGCTCCGCACGTGAGAAGCTAAAGAATAATAAGGACGAATAAGAGGGTGACGCGTGGCAAGCAGAGTGAGGCTGGCGAGAAATGGCCGTCGCGAGCAGCCTATTTCATCATGCCTTTGTCATTTTTTTTGTCAATTTATCGATCAAATTGTAAACTCTTTGGAGATTCTGGATTTGAAAGTGCTAGGGTTCTCTCATCTTGAGAGCTAGCCTCGATTGGGTGTTTTTCATGAACATTGAATCGATTTATCTTGGTTTTGGTGTTGATTTGTGTTGATTGTTTTGTGATTCTTGTGATTTGGAGTTTGTCTGTAACATTAACTTCGACGAACACAAACTTTGCTTTGCAATTTAATTGCTGGGCCCATATGTAAATGTGTGTTCGTACTGCAATGGTGATGGTTCAGCTGTTTCTATGTCACTTCCTACTTCAGGTAATCATTTTGTATCATCTCTGTTAAAGGCATTGATCTGTTTTGTTTCTATTTTTGCAGGCCGCTGGTGCTTTGTCCATTAAAATTGGTGAGTTTTGTTAGGATTCGTGTTATATTTTGGCATTATTATTATGCATATTACTGGACATGTTCATATGTACGGATTATGAAATAGTTTCTCCTTTAAGAATGTGCTTATTTCTCCTTTATTATTTGTTTCTAACTTGTAGATTTGTGTTTTCTCAGTTGGCTGAGGTCAAGAAACAAGCTTCAGTTCTTGAATCATATCTTGAACAGAGGGGAGTTAAACAATCAGTAAGTTTATCTACTAATCATACAGACATCCTAAAACTCCAAAACTGAATGTGTGTACATGTTATTTGGAGAATTATAGAGTATGGTTGTCGCTTGAATAGATTATGAAATAGTTGCCTCAGACTTTAAAGGTTTGCTTGTGGCTGTGTTTACTTGAATCCGAATTCAAAAGTTCATCAAAGTTTATGGGTTTGCCTTGTCTTTGATATCACATCACATAGCTGAGTATTGACTTGTTTTATTGTCTCTAATGCTTTGATTTCTTTTGTATCTGTTTTCTATTGCAATAGTTTTTTAATTGAATAAATTGACTTGGCAAATAATTTGAGTTGTAGTATTCTTTGTCTCTTCTCTCCCTTCATGTTCGGCCATTAAATCCCTTCATGTTTTAGAATTTCTTTTGTTCAATGTGTTTTATGGTGAGATAAGCTTGTGGTTTCTTGTATGAAATTTGTTCACTTGTTTAACACTTGTTTGTTTGGCTTTTGATGATTTTTCAGGTTAAAACGGAAGTCTTTTGAGAGAGAAAATGGCTAAAAAGATTAAATTTTTGCAGCATAGGACTAGAAGGAACCTTGATGATTATTAGTGTTTTTAAGCTTAATAAGATTATATTTTTATTTTAAACTCTCTGTTTTTCTGTTTTGAATTACGGGAAAGTATTTGTTTGAGATATTTATAATCTGTTTAATCAAGTTCTGTTTATATATGTTTTGGTTTATTATTTTTATTTCAATTTTTGCTCATAATTTATCACAAAAATATGTTATTATAATTACATTTTAACTAAAAATTATTACTAGCTAAGTAAATATCTTTATGGATGTAAATTTATAAATTATATTTTGTTGATGTAAAATAAATTTATACAAATTTGACCCAAAAAATAAAATTATAAAAATATATAAAAATTATACAAAATTATATTTTTGTCGCGTCAGCGAAACGAACACAAACCCTGTGGCGGCGGCGGCGGCAGAAGTTGCGGCGACAAAACGAACACAAAACCTGCGGCAGCGGCGGCGGCGGAAGCTGCGGCGACAAAACAAACACAAAACCTGCGGCAGCGGTGGCGGCAGAAGCTGCGACGATGAAACGAACAACAACCTGCGGTAGCGTTACCGCCGCTGCCGCCTGCGGCGGTCAAACGAACAGGCTATTTCGTTTTAACTCTTATTGCGTCTGTTTTATAATAATAAGGTTAAAAGTAACTATTACAAAAAAAAAAAAAAAAAAAAAAAAAAAAAAAAAAAGTTAAAGTTAAAAGTAACTTTCTAATAGTATGTAAAGAATATTGATACGGGAATGAGCAAAAATCATGTATAAATCAGGCTCTTATAAGTAGTGGTTGGGTTAAATGCACTACGACGTATCCTATAGGCTATAACTATCAGTCAAGGAAACTTGTGTGTGGTTGGAGTTATATGCACCAGTTCAACGTTATCGAGAGCCGTACTCAAAATTAAAAAGTTTGAATGTTATAAACTTATAAACGAAAGAAATAGGAGAAGTTCAATAGTAACATCAAACAGAAATATTAATCAACAAAACTAAATTAAAAAAAAATAAGTCTAAATTTCATCTTATTAATATTATATGTAAAAAAAATCAGTACTAAATTTTATTTTATTTTATTTTTTCAAGTGATTTATAAAATTTTGAACCTTAATATTTGGTTTGTGTTGCTTATGCTCTGGGTTGGTCATGGATGGAAATGCAACTACAACGCATATAAACTACAGAGCAATAATATTATGATCAATTTAATTCAAAATATTTAAGATATACCACCAACAACTTGATCGATATATCATAGATTTATATTACTATTTTATATTAGTGAGTTCGATATATTTGAAATGCAAAATTCTTTTTATCAAAGTACGAAATTTATAACTTAAATATCTTTTAGAAGAGACATATTTATATACTTAAAATCTATGACTTTTTGCAAACAAAAATAATATCTGGTCAAATAAACTTTTACTATGGGCCTGACTGGTTTAAATGCAGCGGTTGCGTTTGCGGTTGCGGGAGTTTGCGGAAGCGGGCAGTTGCGGATTCAAGCGTTACCAAACGTTTTGAACGACTGGTTTAGCGTTTGAAAATAGATGCGTTTGCGGGATTTTTATGACTGGTAAACCAGCGGGTAGTAGCTAAATTAAAAAATGACCAAAATAATAAGAAATACTACTAAAAAAAAACAATATATTATTATGATAATATTAGAAAAATTGAACATACTTAATAATTAAAACATAAATAAAGTACTAAATAATTATTCAAAAATAAAGAAATTTCACAACAAGATAGTATTTTATGCATCTGGTTTAACACCAAAAATTGCATCATGTAACGGGACAAACTGCAAATAACGTTGAATTCGCGGATTTCTTTTACAAAAATTATAAAATTTCTTCAAGGTATCTAAACGATTTTTAACACAGCTCCAACTCAAATCAATTCCAAACTGGTCGTTAATATTCTTAAGAATATTTTCTCTTTGAGCACTACTTAGAAATCTGATTTTGGATTCTTCTTTGGGTTCTTCCGTTTGTTTCTCCATATATAATAACCCATTGAAGTAAAGCATATGTGATCTCGTCAAACCATATAAATTTCTGAAATATTAAAATATATTTCAATAAACTATTCTAATCCAGTAAATAACATATAAACATAAAAAATATTGTAGAAGTACGGAAACCAAAAGATTAGGTTGGGAAGCCATGAATATCACCTTAAAACAAATATAATAAAACATAATTACAACTAAAATCAACATGATCATTAGCAAAATTTAACCAAATCTACTATCATAGAAAAAGAAACACGTTTAATTAGCAAAAAGAAAACGTTACAAATATATTAGGGTTGAGATGAACTGACTTTTATACTAGTTTGTTAGGTAAGAATAAAAGATTTGTGAATCTAATTTTTTTAAACATGTTTAAAAAAAAAAAAAATCCAACCGCTACCGCCCGCAACCGCAAACGCTTGCGGGAATGAGCTTTTGAAATCCAGCGATTTGTAGCGGTTCGAAACGGTATGGAGCGATTTCTATGATTGGTACCAACCGCTAACAACCGCAATCGACCGCTAGTAACCGCTAGGCGGGTGCTAGCGGGAGAAACAATCAAGCCCTATCTTCATAAGAGATGAGAAATATCAACTTCAAAACAAATAAACTACAAAATCCAAACAGTTACATTTACATATATATATTTTCTATTTTTATTTTTATGTTAGTATTTGGATGTGATAGAATATTTTTTTCCGAACACACAGATCTTATCTTCACCGATTTATTAGATGAATACTATTTACATTCTTTTTCCTGATTCACATGTACTACTAGCAAACAAAACTTAAAAGAATTTGGCAATTTGCGTTATACAATACGAAATTTCGTCACGCTGTAATTTGAAAAGTCAACCCTAGCTAGGCCCCTTTAGCTCTCCTCCTTTTATATAAACAGAGAAGCAAACACTTTCTTTCTCAGCCTCTCTGTTTCTTCTTCTCTAATCTCTCAACATGTCTTGCTCGGTGACCGAACTCGCCGTCTTGTTAGGTCCCAATGCCACGGAGGCTGCCAACTACATCTGTGGCCAGCTAAGCGTCGTCGACAACAAGTTCATCGACGCCGCTTTCGCCATAGACACCACTTACCTCCTCTTCTCCGCTTACCTTGTCTTCTCTATGCAGCTTGGCTTCGCTATGCTCTGTGCCGGTTCCGTAAGAGCCAAGAATACGATGAACATCATGCTTACCAACGTTCTTGATGCTGCGGCCGGAGGTCTCTTTTACTATCTATTTGGCTATGCTTTTGCCTTTGGATCTCCGTCCAATGGTTTCATTGGTAAACACTACTTTGGTCTCAAAGATATCCCCACGGCCACTGCTGATTATTCCAATTTTCTCTACCAATGGGCCTTTGCTATAGCCGCGGCTGGAATCACTAGTGGTTCGATCGCTGAACGGACTCAGTTCGTGGCTTACCTAATCTATTCCTCTTTCTTAACCGGGTTTGTTTACCCGGTCGTGTCTCACTGGTTCTGGTCGGTTGATGGATGGGCCAGTCCGTTCCGGACCGATGGAGATTTGCTTTTCAGAACCGGAGCGATCGATTTCGCTGGCTCCGGTGTTGTTCATATGGTCGGAGGTATCGCTGGACTCTGGGGAGCGTTCATTGAAGGACCACGACTCGGCCGGTTCGATAACGGTGGCCGTGCCATCGCTCTTCGTGGCCACTCAGCGTCACTTGTTGTCCTTGGAACATTCCTCCTTTGGTTTGGATGGTACGGATTCAACCCCGGTTCTTTCAACAAGATCCTAGTCACATACCAAACAGGAACGTATCAAGGCCAGTGGAGCGCGGTCGGACGGACGGCCGTCACTACCACCTTAGCCGGCTGCACCGCGGCGCTCACGACTCTCTTCGGAAAACGTCTTCTCTCTGGCCATTGGAACGTCACCGATGTATGTAACGGTCTCCTCGGAGGGTTTGCAGCAATAACCGGCGGCTGCTCCGTCGTAGAGCCATGGGCAGCGATCATCTGCGGGTTCGTAGCGGCTCTCGTCCTCCTTGGATGCAACAAGCTCGCGGAGAAACTCAAATACGACGACCCACTCGAGGCAGCACAGCTCCACGGCGGTTGCGGCGCGTGGGGGCTAATTTTTACAGCGCTTTTCGCTGAGAAAAAGTACTTAAACCAGGTTTATGGCGACAGACCCGGAAGGCCTTACGGTTTGTTCATGGGTGGTGGAGGAAAACTCCTTGGAGCTCAGCTGATTCAAATAATTGTGATCACAGGTTGGGTTAGTGTGACCATGGGTACACTTTTCTTTATCCTCAAGAAAATGAAATTATTGCGGATATCATCGGAAGATGAGATGGCCGGTATGGATATGACCCGGCACGGTGGTTTTGCTTATATGTACCATGATGATGATGAGTCTCACAAAGCCATTCAGCTTAGAAGAGTTGAGCCAAGATCTCCTTCTCCTTCTGGTGCTAAAACTATTCCTACTCCGGTTTGATTTGGATTTTTATTTTTACTTTGTGATATTTGAATATTGTTTTGGACGTCTCCTCCGGACATTGTCGCTTATCTCGGAAATGTAGAAAAGAAGAAATCTGACCACTCAAGATCATTTGTGTTCTCTTTAGAGTTTTCATTACTGTGGATGTCGGATTTACACACTCAAGTATTTTATTAAAAAAGGAAAGATTATTCTTGAGGGACAAAAATGAACGTATAAAAACTTGTAAATTGATACGAAAAATTACTATTGTATTTCTTTCTCGAGAGGAAGGGTCCCCCTTACATGGCCATTGGCCTCTATATTTATACCTAGACAAGCGACATTAAAATGGATAATTAAGTACAATTATTCCCTCTTAAGTGTGTCCGTTTTGATTCTTCGACTTTAATGCTCAACGTTTGAATTTGAGTTGACTCTGATCTTCATGGGCCTCGCCTTTTTGGCCCAAGTGTCCTTGAACCGACTTACCCGCATCTTCTACACCGAACTCGTATCACAGTGCAGTCACTTCGGATTCTCGACGTGATGACAACCACTTCGACCGTCCCCTCGGTTCACGGGCCCAATGGGCTTCATCCTTTCATGGGCCACCCGCTTGACTACGTGGCAATCTTTGGTTGGTCTCGTACTTCTGGTGCGGGATCCGACACCAACAATTAGCCC